GGGGTGGTAGGCGTGGGACGAGGAGATGGCGCGGGCGGGGGTGAGGAGGTGGAGGAGGGAGCGGGACCTGGAGGAGGCGAGCGCGACGGAGCGCAGCGGCCCGGCGGCCCGGTGGACGGCGGCGGAGGCGGCGGCGGCCATGGCGGAGGCGAGGGGCGGAGAATGGGGATTCTGGTGGGGGAGAAACCGTACGGGGTTTATGCGAGCCCGGACGGATGAGATATTTCCGGGCTGGCAAATGGGCCGTGCGTTTGCGTGAGCCTCATTGGGCCTGTACCGCCGTCTCAGCGCGTGACTGCAAGGCTTTACTTCCCTCAACAAAGTGTTTTTCTTTCTCTCAAAACAAATAACAAATTGTTTTTCTTTCTAAAATTTAGATTTACTTTTTTCCTAAAAAGTGCTTTTTTTGCATAACTCCACATGATCATTTTTTAGGATAACTCCACTTCAGGTCATTAAAAATTGCATGAACACCATACTAAGGACTAGTAGTATTTAGAAAGTTTATGAACAATAAGTTCCAAAAAAATAGAAAAAAAAGATTTTTTTTTCTTTGGCAAACTTTAAAAAATGTTTGGAGTGCATGCAAAAAATTCATCACAAGATCACATCGGTGCAAGCGCGCGGTAAAGAAAACAAAATCGATACTCTGAAGATGTTACTTTCAAACGCATTTTGGAGCTCTGGTTTTGTTATTTTTGCCACGACTTGCTCCAATGTGATTTCGTGATGTTTGCATGCACTTCAAACATTTCTTAAAGATTGTGAAAAAAAAGATTTTTTTTATTTTTTTCTTTCTATTTTGCTGTTCATGGCAGGAGCATTTGAGCTCGAGATAAGAAGAATTTTTTCAAAGTGTATTATTTTATACAAATGTCAACAACAAAAAATTATCTTCAGCCAAGTCTATAGGAAACACTACTCAATATTTAATGTTGCAAAAAAGGGGGAAGTATATTTGATGATGAATCTAACGATACAAACCCGGTATTGTGGAAGTTGGTATTATTTTCTACAAATTTGGAGACCTCAATACGAAAAAAAAAACATTTTCTTTAGGTTTCAAAGAATTCTGAAAAAAAAAACACATACATATGGATATATATTACTTGTCTGCAAGGTTTCATGGCATTTATATACGAGCTATACAAAAATAACAAAAATCACATATTTCTAGCATATGTATTATTCACTATAAAAGTGAATGTTTTTTTTTACAAATCACATCAGAACATATTTCATGATGAATTTTACACACATCTAGCATGCATCTATAAGTATTTGTACATCCTTTGTTCCTAGATACAATATGTACTTGCATTTAGAAACAGAAACAATATTTATTTTCAGATTTTTAAAAACTTAAAACAGTTATTATTATTTTGAGCTTTTGGAAATTTCAGGCTCCATGAAGCCTGAGAGCAAAAAATCCACTTGCGAATATATGAAGCATAGTGGAAAAATGAAGCGAAAAAGGATGTTCAATAATACAATCATAATACCCTAAAAATCTTAATAGGTTTATTTATTGTTCAAAGAGATACCCTAGACAAAGAAAACAGAAAAGAAACGAGGAAACAATCTGTACAGGGTGCCGAAAGGAAGCTAGAACAAAGGTCTCAGTCTCAGGGGATGATGATCACGCATGATCAATCAGCACTGCTCTTTCTCTACCGCCTACAATGCAAAATGAAGCGCAATGCAATGTCCTACAGGAAATGCTCATGCTATCTCTACTACCCTCGGCCGGAGCCGAGTTCTCGGGGACGCCCTCGTTCGTCGACACCGATCTTCATGGCTGGAACCTCGCCGAGGGCCCCGAGTCGCCGCTCACCTCGAACTCGCTCGAGCTCGCCTTGGACTCGGCGTCCGCGTTGCCACCGGCATGGCCGCCCCTCCGGCTCCTCCGGTCCTTCATTATAAGATCAGAACAAAACATTCAGGTATATGGTCGGGAAATGGTAGAAAATGGCATTGAGAGAGGAGCAGTGGGTAAGGTGGTGTAACCTCCCGTGATGGGACATCCTCTGCCTCAAGCATCCGGACAACATGGCCCATAGTGGGTCTCTTCTCGGAGTCCGGGTCGACGCACCTCAGCGCCACTAGGAGGGCGCGCTTGAGAGCACGGATGGTCGGCTTTACCTCCATGTCGCGGTCCACCACCTCATCGGCTCTCTTTGTACCGACCATCATTTTGAGCCACTCCACCAGATGCACCTGCACGGCATCCATGTCATAGTTTGATCAACAATTCAACATACATTCCCAGTAGCCAACAGGTAAGACAACAGAAAAAAAATAGTTGCCTAGTAACAGAAATGTGACTAGGTTTAAATGATGTTTATTTTGCTGTTGAAACAAAATGGACACTGGAATAGTATGGGCTACTACTGAGGGCATCTCCAACAGCTGTAAGATAGGTGTTGGTAAATTTGCCACCTAGGACATAGTGATGATGTGGCATGTAATAAATATGGAGAGAGAGCAAAGTTGTATGTAGAATAACCAACAACCTTTGCACAAGCTCCAAGGTGAAATAGAGAGCAATCACATTTATTTTCTCATCATCTATTGGATAGCTTAGATACAACCTATTGAAGTAGCTGTATGATAACTTGTTGGTTGATGACATGGACATTTTACCAACAAGACTAACATACAATCTATTGGAGATGCCCTGAGCAAGCATGATACACTTTAGATAGTAGAATACATGCTCACCTCATTGGCCGGCCGACCATAGTCGACAGGATCCCTCCCAGTAACTGCTTCCAGTAGAAGCACGCCGAAACTGTAGACATCGCTCTTCTCGTTTAACAGACCTGTGTTGGCATATTCAGGGGCCACATACCTGAAACGACGGCAGCATAAAAGTTCAGTGCTCCTACAAAGCTAACTGCTTTTATACACGAAGAACAAAATCTTCTAACATTTAAAATCTCCTGCTGTATGTGAATATCAAACATTTCCATGACTACAGCCAGGTAATTATAAATTACAAAACAACAGTGGCATACCCAAAGGTTCCCATAACTCGAGTCGTGATATGGCTCTTCCCAGCACCCAACATCTTGGCCAATCCAAAATCAGAAAGCTTCCCATTGAAATCCTCGTCAATTAGGATATTGCTTGATTTGATATCACGGTGCACAACCTTTGGCTCTATGGCTTCATGTAGATAAGCAAGCCTGCATATCATTTAGTTTGATATAATGTCTTGCCCAACTAAAAGTGTGCATAATGAAATGTGCAAAGAGATGAATGACTTGATTCTTACGCTTTAGCAATTCCAAGAATGATTTTCATTCGAGCTTCCCAGGTAAGAACACCATGCTGCCGCATGGCGCCGTGAATCCACTGCTCTAAGTTTCCGTTGTTCACATACTCATACACAAGCATCCTGGAACAAAAGTAAGTTTAACAAAGGGATGGAAGATGAAATAAGTCACAGACCATATGCTGCACACGAAGCAGGTAGATTTGCACAATGTACATTCTCCATGAAAATTCAAACACACAGAGCTGAATCTTCATGGAGAAAACATAACAAACACTGTTCTCGTAGAAAACGCAAACTGCTTATGTCTTACAGAATATCTTACTCCCTCCGTCCCATAATATAAGAGCGTTTTTGACACTACACTAGGGAGTATACTATATGTACTGAAATAGGAAATTAGAACAGAGCATGGCACTGGTATGTTCAATTTATCATGAAGTGGAAAACAAAAATATATTGCTGCCAATGATACGAAACAATTGTCAGACCCCTACCGTAAATATGTCGGATGTTTGTCAAAGGGAGATTGTAAATTATAAGATGTCAGAAAAAAGAAGATGATTTTTTTCCTGTTTCTGTAGCCAGATATGTCAGGAAGAAAATGATGGATACCTAATACGAAGTACATACTAAATAAACTAAAAAAGTAGTGAACCATATCTAAGTTGTAGAGAACCAAAACCTGGGTGGCGGGGATGTACACCCGCAACTTTCCACCAACTTAGCTAAGCTTGCTTCCTAATATGTTTCTCAAATAACTACCGGAATATTAAAAAAATTAACACGTGTACATTGTATTGGCTGATCAAATTTAACATGCTTGAAGAAGACATCACTGACCATTAGAGGATTGATAATTAGATTATCTAGAAGGATCTCTGTTTCGCAAGAAATTTCCTATCTTGATGGCGATTTAAGGAGCACTGGTTCTACCAAGGCCGTGACAGCTTAGGCAAATAGTAGCAGACTGAATTGTAGTTAAGGATCCATTTGGTACCACAGTTTGCCAACCTAGTACTGTGGAGGAAATGCTTGATTCTGATGACAAATGTCCAGGCCTATTACAGAGAGCAGCTGTCTCGGCCAATAAGCTGTTCATGTATGTCAATTCACCTCTATCTATCTACAGTCTTCCAATCATGCCACCATTGACCTTTAATAGTTTTGATATGCTTGGGCCCCCAACTTCAACGATATTGACTGGAAAAGGTTTTACAACATGCCCTCACACTCTAACTCTGTTAAGAGGGGCAGCTGTGACTGTTCCATTATGGTGTTTGTAAGCAGGACAGCAGAGAGTATTGTAGCGCTAACGAACAAGAAGTTGAATCAAGCTATAAATGTTTGACAGTTCCATGAAGAAAAACAATGTTTGAAATGATATAAACTTCATATTTTGTGGTGAAGAATTAATGACCGATCGACTCTAGTGTGCAAGTGAACATAAATCAGTAGCAATTTGATGTAAACAAATATTACTGCACAAATGAAACTAGCCATCCATTGGTGCAGGTGATCGAAAATAGCTAACCTGTGGATTCCTTCAACACAATATCCCAGCAGACGGACCAGATTTTTATGCCTGACATGGCCAATAGCCTCAACTTCAACCCTGAACTCCTTTTCTGCCTGGCCCCTGCAGTGCCATATCAAAACACAATCAGTATGGTGACATCACACAGAGCAAGTTTTTGTAAAGAAAATGTGACCCTCAAGGACCAAATCTAATCCAGAGTTCCTTACATGTTATTCAGTAGCTTTTTTATTGCTACATCAGTCCCATTTATGAGTCGACCACGGTAAACCACCCCATATCCACCCTCTCCAATGATGTTCTCCTTAGAGAAGCGATTCGTCGAATGCTCCAAATCCCTCAGAGTGAACCAATGGCCCCAACCCAAGTGCGAAAATTCCGGGAGACCAACAAGAGGAGATGCGGAGACGGTCGCATACTGAGAATATTGCCTCCTAGCGTTGCCCGAGCTGCCTTCATCACCAGAGTAAGCACTACCAGCCCTATCGCATTGGTAGGCCGAGCTGCACTGGCTCAAATTATCAGCATCACTCGACTTTGTCCTGACCAAGTGTCCCAGCATTTTCCCAGAATCTTTTTCATGAGGCTTCTCCTGCACCGTCAACGTGTGGCTTTCTTGAACTTGATAGTTCTCCACAACAGCATTCTGGCGCACTTCATCCACTGCAATCTCCTTAGATACATCCGGGATTTGAGATACTGGGATCTTATCAACAGACTTCTTGGGCTTCCTGCGGTATATGGACCAGAAGCACATGAAACCTAGTATGCAGAAGATTACCACCCAGATGCTGATGCCAATCACTATCCACAGCCTCAGGCCAAACGGTGGCGTCTTGGATGACAGCTCTGCGCGTAGGCTTTCGGCTGTTACCATCTCTGTTTTGGAGCAGCCTGCACACCAGGATCAGTAATGCAGTGTTAGCTTAGCATCCACTCAACCGGAAGAAATATAATAACCATTAACCAAGGTGGCAATTCATTGAACACAGCAAGCAAACTGAGGCTAATATGACAAAATTGCATACACTTCATTAAACACAACAGGGAAGATAAGCTGGGATTAATATGAGAACATGGCATACACTTCATTGAACACAGCAAGCAAGACAAGCTGAGATTAATATCAGAACATGGCATACACTTCATTGAACACAGTAAGAAAGACAAAAGGAGATTAATATCAGAACATGGCAATACGCTTCATTGAACACAGCAAGAAAGACAAGCTGAGATTAATATCAGAACATGACATACACTTCATTGAACACGGTAAGAAAGACAAAAGGAGATTAATACGAGAACATTACATGGCAATACACTTGATTGAACAAAGCAAGAAAGACAACTTAAGATTAATATCAGAACATGGCAACATACTTCATTGAATAGAGCAAGGAAAACGAGCTGGGATTAATACCAGAAGGTGCCATAAACTTCATTGGAGTTGGGATGAAAAGGTGCATTACGTTGGAAGCATACTACTTATCTGAATGAGGACAACATAAATACAGCACTAATAAGAACAGAAAGCAGGTGTGTCCACTGAAGTTTATGGCAGTCATTATTCACCACAAATATCAAAAGGGGAGGGAGAAATGGGAAGGAAGAACATGAGGCGCAATTTCCATGTGAGGCGAATTAATTAGAGGAGCAAGCAAAGCATTGATGAGGAATCGTCTGTTCCTCGACGACTACCTGCCCCTTCCCAAGATGAACACTACTAGCAGACACAGCGCCAACATTTACAACTAACTGTGAACTCCTGGAAGCTCAAGGCCACAGCCAGATCAAGAGCCTGGGGAGTGGGAGCGAATGGGGCAAGAACCGGCAAGGGCGATACGAATCGCGCATATCCCCGTCAAATCAAAGCTTTCCCCTTGGGCCTCCGTTGCAAAAGAAAAGATTCGGCGCTTTCTTCCTCGCTACCCGGGGAAAGAATCCAATCGAATCGAGCCAAATCAATCTCATAAGCCCTTCCGGACGCATTGGATCAAAAGTACCACTAGGATCCTGTAACCAAGAACCCACCCGCGCGCCATGGACGCCTACGGCGGCGCAGCTTCCGAGCAGAGGCGCTCGCCGCCGCCCGCACCCAATGCGAACGGACCAGACGGGGAAGAGGGGAGAGAGCGAGGAGGAGGAGACGGTGAGATCACCTACGGAGCGAGAAACCCCTGGCGGCCGCCTCGAGCTTCCTCTAGGGTTCTTGGAGCAGCAGCACCAACCAACCACCCCGCTGTCGCTATCCGCGTCGCCTCACTCACTCACTGCCTTACTGCCGCCGGCTCAAGCCGCTGCGGCGCCTCCGGCCGGCGACTAGCTCAGCTGCGCCGCGTCGGCGGGGATGGGGCGCATCAATGTGGGACGGATTGGGAGGGAGGGAGGGGGAGCAAGCGGCATTAAAGTTTGGGTCACTCGAGTGAGAGCGCAGAAGCGGAAGGAAACAGCTGTAAAAAGAATGGAGAGGAGAGAGGGGGAGGAAATCCGCCGTCTTTGCGCTTTGCTACGTGCACCCCGTGATGGCTTTGGGGGGGACGTGGGGCTGAGGTTGTTTGCGATGATGATTAGTGGGGGGGTTAATGGATGGTTAGCGTGTACTCGTAGCTTCATGATGATGATGCCAAAATTGTTTGTTGATGCTTCTTGTTTTGATGAGGGTGCGGCCAGGTGTGGAATTGACCCGATTATGCAACTAACCCGACTTTTTACAAAAAGGGATAGGTGAGAGAGAATCAGGTGGGAGGTCGAAACCCTAGTCGACGAGCGGTGTTAGTCATCCAGCACTGCGGGCTTCAATGGCGGTCCGACCTGGCTAGGTCATCAGAGAAGAGGGAGTCGACACGTGGTCCTGGACGAGGGCGAGCTCAACATCAAACCTAAACTTGTCATGCAGTAGTATGGGTGAATTTCTTTTCTTCATGTTTTCTTTAGGAAGTCTTTGAGTTTGGTTGGCGACGACAAGGCAGTGTTCTTGTCGCATTGTAGGAATAATGTTCTTCCCGCGCTTTCCTTATTTCGTTGATGTGCTTGTTGTCGGGGGAGTGCGTGTGCAGCCGTGTCTTTGGCAGGTCTTTAAATTCTGGCCGGCTTAGGTTTCCATTGATTTGTCTGGATTCGGTCCGGCTTCGTGGTCTTCCGGGTTGTCGTCGGGGGAGTGTGTGTGCAGCCGTGTCTTTGGCAGGTCTTTTAGGTCTGGCCGATTTAGCTTTCTGTTGATTTGTCTGGATTCGGTCGGGCTTCGTGGTCTTCCGGGTTGTCGTCGGGGGAGG